GCTCTGGACACGCAGGCTCAGCGGCCATGGCTCACGGGCCTAGTGGCTCCGCGGCATGTGGGATCTTCCCGGACTGGGGCACGAACCCGTGTCCCCTGCATCGGCAGGCGGACTCTCCACCACTGAGCCACCAGGGAAGCCCCACAGTGCATTTAAGATGACTCAAATGATGAATAGACATTGGTGGGGAGACACAAAATTACAAAAACAGTTTACCACCAATGTTTGACCTGTCAGGTCCATAACCCTGGAAAAACTATTTTTGTTCCCAGAGGCCTCAGACCTCCTCCCTCTGGGCCCTCTGAGCACCTACAGCTGGATTTCATTCAACTGCCACCTAGTATCGGTTATCAGTAAGTTCTTGTTATTGTATGTATATTTTCAGGATGGGTTGAAGCCTTCCCTTGCCACAAGGCTGATGCCCTCACAATGGCAAAGAAGCTGTTAGAAAATGTGTTTACCAGGCGAGGTATACCTTCCACAATCTCCAGTGATTGAGGCACCGACTTCACTGGGCAAACCAGACAAGGCTTAATGAAAACCGTGCAAACTTCTTGGAATTATCACTTTCCCTATCACCCTCAATCATCAGGCAAGGTAGAGAGAACTAATGGGATCCTCAAAAATCTCTAAACTTGCTAAAACTAGTGGACTCCCTTGGCCTAAGGTATTGCCTCTGGCCATGCCAACTGTTCCCAGTACCCCCTGTGGAAAACATAGACTCACTGCACATGGAACAGTCACCAGGAGACCAGTGTCAATTGGTATACACCTTTCTGCTGATCCCTTATTATCTCATGTTAGTATGACCACCTACTATAAGTCTTTCATGTCTTAGGCCTATCATCGACAGGTTAAAGAAGCCTTCCAAGATCCCAGTTCAAAGGATTGTGTTGGTCACAGTCTGGAGCCTGGTGACTGGGTATTATGGAAACGTCATCAGAGGAAGACAGCCCTCAAGCCCATTGGAAGAGACCACACCAAGTGCTCCTAACCACTGACACTGCTGCAAAACTAGAAGGCATTGAGCCTTGGGTACACATCTCACAGCTAAGGAAGGCTCCACCAGACATCTAGTCCTGTACAGACGCTGGAGACCTCTGAATGTAACTGATAAGGAAGAGAAGCAGCTGACATCAAGGTGGACTGCTTCTGTCCCAGACGCCAGCTATAGACCATACTTGAACTAAACGTGAAACCCTTCCTCCTTTTTCTTTTCTTTACTCTGGTATTGACCTGAAAAGATGTTTTCACCCTTCTCTCCCAGACCATTGCTAAGGGAGGTAAGCTTTCAGACTGCTGGATTTGTCAACAAAGATTCCAATCTATCCATGATGCCAGAGACCCCCTGGTCCTTCCTGTGACCAATTTCTCTTCTATTCTCAAAGTCACAGAAAACTACAATCGAACCCCCTAAAAATTTCTTATGCGGTTCAACTTGTACAGCCAGAACAACCTATGCCTTGTTGTTGCCTTTCTCCCATCATAACTTACTCAGTTAGACACAATTACCTAGTAAATCTTAGTGCATTTGCACCCCCATGTTCCCATTATAATCTAGATCAGATTTGCCCCCAATCACTAAGAGATCTCACCAGCAGCAACCATGCTTGCAAGGCATTTAGAACAACACTTTATTTCAGGATGGGAGATTCTCTTCCCATACGTGCTGAAAACCTAACTGACACCTGGTTGGAATGGGTAAACGCAGTAATTCCTGTGACTGAATCCATTAACAGTACCTCTTAACGGGAATGGTTTGTGTCCCCATAGGGTCTTTGTCCATGGTGGTTATCATTCTCTTTGGGCCTCTGAATGCCTAGATAGCCAGTGCACAGGGGGCAATACCTCTTAGGTTATGTAACTGGGCCCCTGACATTCCACAAGGGAACTAAGACACCTCATTAGTCAAATCCCCTGGATTTACATCATCAAGTTAAAAAATAACGATGAGCGGGACTTCCCTGGTGGTCCAGTCGCTAAGACTCCACGCTGCCAAGGCAGGGGGCCCGGGTTTGATCCCTGGTCAGGGAACTGGGAACTAGATCCCACATGCTACATGCTACAAGGAAGATCCCACATGCCGCAACTAAGACCCACCGCAGCCAAATAAGTAAATAAATATTTTTTTAAAAATAACGATGAGGATTTCATGACTCAGGATTCATTTCCTTCGGCAGGGCCATCAGCCCAAGAAAGATCCTTAGATTCTCTGGCCAAAGTTGTTCTTTATAATAGAATAGCCCTTGATTATCTTTTAGCTGAGCAAGGAGTGTCTATGCTGTGGTCAATACCACCAGCTGCACCTGGATTAACCCTTCTGGATTAGCTGAAACTCTATTATATAAAATCACTGAACAAGCCAGTTGGCTTAAGAAGGTGACTCCTTCAACGGGAACTTTCTTTTTTTAGGAGGGATCGAACCCGTGCCCACTGCATTGGAAGCGTGGAGTCCTAACCACTGGACCCCCAGGGAATTCCCAATGGGAACTTTCTTTGACGTATTTGATTTTGCCTGGTTTGGATCCTGGGGACCATGGCTCTGAAGTGCCCTCCAAACATTGTGAATTATCCTGTTTATTATAATAATCTCCCTGGTGCACTTAATCTCTCAAAAGCTTTAAATGCATACTCACTGCCACTAACCACCAAGCAAAAGATCTCCTTAAGACTCGAACATCAGAAGAGTAACAAAAAAGTGACCAACTTAAAAACTGTGAACCTGAAGCCAGCCAGGACCTGTGACTATCACAGGGGTTAAGCAAAAATATCATAACCTCTGGTTAGCACACAAAGGAACAAGAAAAACTACGAGAACCTCAGAGCAGTAGCTGAGAGTGGCCCTCATGCCTTAAGTTTTGCTCACATCTCTCAGTTAAGCTGAGAGTCTGATTAAGGTGGGGAGGGTGGGAGGAGGGGGCATTGTTAAAGAGAAAACCACAGGCCAAAAATGGAGTCCCTTATGCTAGGCCAAGCAACCAAAGCAGGGCTCAATACCTAACCTAACCGAAGCTTCAACCTCCTCCAAACATGTAGTCTTAACCGGTCAGTCAGGAATTTTCTGGTCAGCACCAATGAGGTAGTCGGTCACATGGGTCCTCTCCCCTCTCCATCCTCCAAAAGGAAGACGAGGTAACCCCACCTAATAAGACGCTTTTTCCCCCAAAAGGTAAATGACCTAATCTGAAATCACCCGTTTTTCTGATTATGACTTCCTCGTCTTGCCTTTAAAAAACCTTTCCCTTTCTGTAGCCCTTTAGCGCTCCCCTCTACTTGCTAGATGGGATGCTGCCCAATTCATGAATCATTTGATAAATCCAATTATATCTTTAAATTTTAAAGATGAATTTTGTTTTTTTTTGCTTTTTAACACCATGACAACTAGGATCCTCACCTCAGCACTTTGTTGGGCCTCCGTGGGTCCGACATATTGTTCGCGGACATAGCGAGTCGCGCCTCTTCCGCTGCGGGAGTCTCAGCTTCCGGCGGCTTCCAGCAGGGAAACGGAGGATGGCTTTTAGAGTAACACCCTCAGCCCTCGCGCTTCCGTTCCTGCCGGCGGGAGCTGGAACTCCCCCCATCCAGGGGACAGAGAATTCGAAGAAGCCAAAAATGTTGCAAGAAAACAGGACGTGGGGAAAGAAACCGAGACGCTGGAAACAAGCTTCAGTGTTTCCAGCGCTTTCTCCAAAAAGCCTAAACGTTGAACCAGGAAGTGAGAAATAGGCAGTAGACTATGGAGGACAATAATAAGGTTACACCAAAGCGTGGGTTCCCAGGGCAGAAAGCCCCGGTGCAGGCTACTGTACGGTGGTGAGGAAGGGAGGGCGGAGCAATGGCTTTCCCGGAGCCAAAACCGCGGGCCCCGGAGCTGCCTCGGAAGCTGTTGAAGACGTTGGACTGCGGGCAGAGGGCGGTGCGAGCCGTGCGATTTAATGGTGAGCACCCTTATCGTCATTCCGGGTCCTACCTCCGCCTTCTGAAGTCGGCGGCCCAGTAACCCCCTCGTGGTGTTCCCCAGTGGATGGCAATTACTGTCTGACTTGCGGCAGCGACAAGACCCTGAAGCTGTGGAGCCCGCTGCGAGGGACGCTACTGCGGACGTACAGCGGCCACGGCTACGAGGTGCTGGACGCGGCAGGGTGAGCCGGGGGCCAGAGCGGGATCGAGGCGCTGAGGCCGGGGTCAGAGGTAGACGCTGATCTTCCCTGCTTTGCTCTCTAGCTCCTTTGACAACAGCAGTCTCTGCTCCGGCGGCGGGGACAAGGCAGTGGTGCTGTGGGATGTGGCATCGGGGCAGGTCGTGCGCAAATTCCGGGGCCACGCGGGGGTGAGTGCAAGCAAGAAACGGCCTCGTTAGAAAGGACCGGAATTGCGTGTAGGTGGTGACAGGCACCCACCCCTCCCCACGCAATTACAGCGCAAGGATCCTTACCCACGGCCCCGCCTTCACCAAGCTCTGTCCTTGCAGTTCCTCCAAAAACTTTCACCTCCCCTACCCCTAGCCTTTTCCCTTGCTTTAACTTGCACTGGGAACCCTGCTTTTATCCCCATCCAAAGTCCAGCCTTCTCTAAGCTGCTGTTCCTGTTTTGCAGAAGGTGAACACAGTGCAGTTTAATGAAGAGGCCACAGTTATCCTGTCTGGTGAGTCCGGGGCCTAGGCAGGTGGGCGCAGGGGGCTGCCCCGGCCCCCCCAAACCTGATCCACTTTCATGCTGACCTCACAGGCTCTATCGATTCCACCATCCGCTGCTGGGACTGCCGCTCACGGAGACCTGAGCCCATACAGACGCTGGACGAAGCCAAGGATGGCATATCCAGCGTGAAGGTGTCAGACCATGAGGTCCTCGCAGGGTGAGTGGGACCAGGACCTTGCCCCTCCCCAGGTGCCACTGGGGATCATAGCTGTCTCTGTACTTAGATTAAAATCTACTCTCAAAAAAAAAAAAAAAAAATCTACTCTCCTCACTGCACTCACAAGGCCTTGCATGGTCTGGTCTCTGTTGTGCTCTCAGTTTTTATTCATTCCCAGGCTCATTTCTGTTAAATATGCCACACATGCTCCCACCCCAGGACCGACTTTTGCAATTGCTCTTCCTCTGCCTGGGCTACCCTTCTACTACTTATTCCGAGTGTGTTTGAGCACCACCTGCAGGTCACGTTTTCAGTCAATGAGCATACAGGAGTGAAAAGATAGGAAAACAAGGAAAAACCCCACTTACATAGAGTTGATGTTCTACCTGCAGGAGACAATTAAAAAAAAAATATTCCCATGCAGGGCTGCCCAAATGTTGCCACAACCTGAGGGAGTGCCGATACCACCACTGGGGGCATTTGGGCTGCATGGCGTGGTGGCCTACCCAGTTCCCACACATCCCCCCTTGGACTGCATATGGCCGGCTCCTTCTCATCTTTAAGTACCAATTCAAACGTCACCTCCTCGGGGACCTGATTACCCTCAGTCAGCAAGGCTCCACGTTGGCAGCAAGTGCTCCTGGCTTGGTAGCAGCTGTGTCCCAAGCTCCCACACAGGGTGTAGCCCAGAGAAGGAGCTCAGTATAAATCAGAAACAGATGCAGTGGGACCTGATTGGCCCCTGGGGCTGAGTCTCAAAGCCAGTGCCTCAGAATTCCACTCATGAATTCCCTTCAATGCATGTTTTCTGTGGCCAGTCCTGAACATGACATGACAGTGAAGGGTGCCCAGGAAGGGCAGGCACCCAGCCTTGCTCTCAGGGCCCTGGCCAGGTGAGAGGGTACAGGAACACCAAAGCTGGAGCCCTGGACCTGCTGGCCCCTGTGATGCTTCAGCTGGATCCATCCTCTCTTGCAGCTCCGTAGATGGCCGGGTAAGGCGCTATGACCTGAGGATGGGGCAACTCTTCTCAGACTACGTGGGCAGTGAGTGTGGCTGGGGCTGTGAGGCAGGCAGGGAAGGTGGGGGCAGCACGGGAGACCCCAGCCTGACCTGCTTGCCCACCCCTCCCTTTCCCCCAGGCCCCATCACCTGCACCTGCTTCAGCCGGGACGGGCAGTGCACCCTGGTGTCCAGCCTGGACTCCACGTTGCGGCTTCTAGACAAGGACACAGGGGAGCTGCTGGGCGAGTGAGTTCTCAGGGCTGTGGGCCCCCTCCCCCACTCCCAGTAAGGCCCCAAACCCCCACTGATGCCACTCACACCCAGGTACACGGGCCATAAGAACCAGGAGTACAAGCTGGACTGCTGCCTGAGCGAGCGCGACACGCACGTGGTCAGCTGCTCCGAGGACGGGAAGGTGTTCTTCTGGGACCTGGTGGAGGTGAGCCTGTGCACCGGGGGGCCTGCCCGGTCCTTACCTGAGTCACTCCCAGGCCTTTATAAGGGAGTGCTGTTAGAACTGGGGGCTGGAAGGAGGAGTGAGTGAGGGGATGAGGCGAGAACATTCCTGGCAAAGGGCACAGCATGTGATAAGCCTCGGGGTTGTGGCACACACACACTGGTCAGGAGATAGAAGCACTTTGGATGGCACTGGCGGTAGCAGAATCCAGGTCAGGCAGGGCCACTGGGACTGACCCTGGGGTAGGAGGAGCGGATAGTGGCATCTGACCTCAGGGGAGACAGGGCTATAGTTTTCAGGAAATCTGAGCTACCCCTGAGCATCCCTGTGGTATCCAGCCCCCAAGCCCTGTGGGCCCTGTCCTGATGTGTCTCAGCCTGTTGGGGGTGTCAGGATGCGAACTGACCAGCCAGGCGTAGTGGGGTCAGAGCTGGGGCTTGGCCAGAGAAGTAAGCCTCCTAAGAGGATGGAGGGAACCAGGGGGCCCTGGAGAGTCCAGGGGCCAGCTCTCCCTCTGGGAACTAAGAAGGTGCCAACGTTCTGCCTACTTCTTGAGGTTCCTGTAGACCGGAAGTCACCCTGAAGGGGAGGGCACATGAAGGGACACTTTCCAGGTGGAAAGAGGAATGGTGGCCTCCTTGAAGAACTGTGTTTGTTGAGCTGTGCCTGCAGGGTGATGAAGGGAGCGGGCATTGAGGCTATCAAGTGGGCGGGTGAAGCCCAGATGGCGGCAGAGGGGGAGGGAAGCTGGGACCCACATGTGACCGGCCATGGAGGAGGGTAGTGGCTGTGAAGGTGGAGAGAATCAGCAATCTCTGGGCATGGTCTAAAGGTAGAACCAAGAGGATTTACCGACAGGGATGTGAGATGTAAGAGAAAGATTCAAGATGTTTGACCTGAGCACCTAGAAGGACGGAGTGACTGAGGGGCTCAGTTTGTGGCTGGTTCAATTTACAGTGTCTCGGAAGCACTTAGACGCATGTGGCTGAGAGCGGGGGGGAAAGCGGCTGAGGGGAGGGAGACACACTGGTGACACTCCCAACCCCCTCACTCCACAGGGTGCCCTGGCGCTGGCCCTGCCTGTAGGTCCCAGTGTGGTACAGTCGCTGGCCTACCACCCCACGGAGCCCTGCCTGCTGACCGCCATGGGGGGCAGCATCCAATGCTGGCGGGAAGAGACCTACAAGGCTGAGGATGGCACAGGCTGAAGCCAGGGGACCCACGACCAAGGACAGAGAGAGACAGCCTGAGGAGGACCACTGAGACCATGTATTCTAGACATGCTGCTGACCAAGGAGTTGGGAGGAGCTGGGTCTGCAAACTAATAAATAGAGGAGGTGGTGAGGCCTCCCTGGGGCTGCACCGTCCAGTGTTCAGTCCTCGTTCTTCTCGGGCGTGAAGGCATCTACCTTCTGGGCAAAAGTTTCAGCCACGAGCAGCGGAAAGACCAGGGAGGCATCAGCATAGACCTGTGGAGGGGACTCAGGTGAGCCACGGGACCCAAGGCCGTACCCCAGGAGACCCTGTGCCCCAGCTGGCTGGCCGGCCCTCACCTTGACAGGCTGTGCGTCCACCCGGATCTTGCCCCAAGAGACAGCTTCATCTGGCCGGGCGCCTGAGTCAGAGCCATCAAATTCCTGGGCTGTGTTGATGTAGACAGCGTAGTCAGCCCCATTCCGCTGTAGGGAGGGGCAGAGTGGGCTGTCAGCCACACAGACTCCAAGGCAGGGCACTGTAGCTAGAGGCTGAGGGACGTGTTCCAGATGAAGGAAGCCCTTGGCTGCCCCTCATTCCAAGGGAAGGGCCCCACGTCAACATCTGGGCAGAGTGAGGGGTCACGGGATGCTGGGCAGACAGTGGGCAGCGTTGCTCCAGACTCGCCTGCTAGGTAGCAAGAGCCCTCCCACATCTGCCACCAGCTCTGTAGAAGACCTCCAAATCCAACTTACCTCTCCCCTCTCTATGACCCCCACCCTGGGCCCCTCATTTGTTCCCCCCAGAGCAGCCAGAGAGCGCCTGAGAGCACCTGAGTGGCTCTCAAGGCCCTGCACTTTCTGCCTGTCACCTCCTGCCTCACCTCCTCCTCCCACTCTCGCCTTCGCCAGCCTCCTAGCTGTTCCTTGACCTACATCAGGCACCTCAGAACCTTTGCACTGACTGGTTCCACTGCTGGGAATTCTATCTCGCCCCCACCCCCCAAGACAACCACATGGCTCATGGGACCACCCCCTGAAAAACCTCTGCTGGCAGGTCACACTTCCCAGGAAGCTTTCCCTTTTATGAACAGCACCCCTTTCACTTGCCATCTTGTCATCCTTCCTTATTTTTCTCCATAGCAATTACTACCACCTGATACTCATGTCACCTGTTTGCTATCTCCCCCCACTAGAACATCAGTGCCAGGAGGGCAGGGATCTTGGCCTGTCTAGTCCACAGCTGTCTACCCAGCACATGGCATAGGCCTAGTACACAGGCCTGTCTGCATGACGGGCCTGAGTGCCACCCCCTACTAGGGAGCACACACACTCCATCCCTGCTCACCATGAGGTTGGCGTTGGCAATGTGGTGCTTGACCATGCCACCGCCCAGGATGATCATCCCAGTGCGCCTGGCGAAGATGGCCTGTGTGTTGATGAGCCTGAGGTCTGGGAAAGAGGGCTGTGTCAGGCCGCGGGCCCAGGCAGCCCTCCTCCCCCGCTCCTCTGGAGCCCCAGCACCTTACCTTCAACGATGTCCAGGACCAGGCCTGGGTTCTTATAGGAATGGAAGAAGATCATGTCACCCAGCGAGCCATCTGTGAGTGCCGGGCTCAACACAGGGATGTGGTTCTGGGAAACAGCAAGGCAGGAGAGCGGTTAGAGCTCAGAGCCCTGCAGGGGCAGTCTGGGAGCACTCCCTCCTCTTTGCCTGATTCTGGGCAGGGAGCTTAACTTCACTTGTGCCTGGCACATAAAGAATGGTAGCTCTTGTTTTTCTGATTGCTGGGCCCCATAGCCTCTGAGGAGCATGGGACCCTACACCAGGCCCCATGGGGGCTGCTAAGCACTGCCCCCAACTGCTTCCCAGTAGTCTAGGAGTAGAGCCAGAATACAAGGACCACACTCAACAGCTGTGGGACCTCAGGCAAATTGCCTAACCTCTCTGTTTCTGAGGTTCCTCTCCTAGGAGTGGGAATAAGAATAGTACCAACTCCCCAGGTGGCTGTAAAGATGAAACAACACATGCCAAAGCCTGGCAACTTTGCCCCCACCCAGCCCCTCACCTTCTGGGCCCAGTAATACACTGACTCTGGGTTGTTTATCTCCTTGCCAAGCCGGGCGATCATCTTGGAAGGCGTCCACTTCACACCCTAGGAGGAGACATCAGCTTCAGCCAGCGGCACCTCCCCTGACACCCACCGTGCCACCCGCACCCCCCGCCCCAGGTTCCTCCAGCCTCACCTCCGTGTTCTGCTCCAGCACCATCTGGTCCAAAATGGGCATCAGCCAGTCCTCAAACTTGCAGTAATTGTCATTGGGCACCAGCAGGTTTCCGATCCTGGGGACAGGAGGCATGTGGGCATCAGGGTCCAGGACCCTCAGCCTGGCTCCCCTACCCAGCACCACTCAGGGCCCCCCACCTGTTGATTCCGTTCTCACGTAGCTCCTTCCCCCTGAGGCTGAACTCGCCCAGGTATGTGGGCGCCAGACACTTGATGAAATCCTCCTCCACACCCCCAGCCGTGGTCACCAAGACGTCCACCTGCAGTCACAAGGCAGTGAGGTTGGCCAAGGAAGGGAGGCCCTGCTTTCGTACCGCAGGACTCCTAACTCCCAACTCTCATCCAGTGACCCTTGTGGGGAGCTCTGCTGCAAAACAAAACTGACCCATAGTTCCCTATCTCACTTCAATGACCAGTAATCTTATTGCCCATTAAGACCCAGAGAGGCCAAGGCCACAACCCCACCAGGTCCCCACCATGTTGTGCTGCACGAGGTAACGGATGGTCTCACGGATGCCCGAACTGATGAGGTTGGATGTGTAGCCCAGAAAAATGGTGCAGCCGGTGAGTGGGCGGCAGCTCTGGGTCAGGTCTGCATGTTGGTCTTCATCCTGAGCCAGCGGCTCTAGTTTCTTCTCTATCTAGGTGTGTAAGGGCAGGGTCGAGTTAACCTCTGGCCCCAAACTCCAGCCCAAGGACCCCAGGTGGGTTTCAGAGACAGACTCCGCGCCCAGGCCCTGCCCACTGAGGGATATGGGACCACTTCTACCTGGAACCAGGGAGTGAACGCCCCTGTGCAGGCTCCGCCCTTTCCACAGCCCAAGTCTCAGGTCACACACTCAGGCTTTGCCTCTTTTCAGGAATCACTTTTGCAGTCCCGAACCCTCTCCCCACTGGGAAAAGCAAATCCAACCTCAGGTCCCGCCCTGCCTTAGGCTCCTCCTTCAATCCCTCCCTCAACTGCGCGGTCTGGCCCCAGACTCCGCGCATTCCAGAATACCTGCACATGTTGCCTATAACGCGCCTCCTACCTAGAATCAGTCCCAACCCACTCCCCAGCACAAAAACTCGCGCCCAGGAGGTGGTCCCCGTCTCTCTCCAACTATCGGACGAAAAACACACCTCCTCCCAAGGAAGTCCCGCCCCCAAGTACCCCACAGTGCTACTGGAGGCCACGCCCCCTCAACCCAGGAAGTCCCACCCAGGCCTCACCATGGCGTTGACTTGCTGCACCGCGCGCCCGAAGTTGGTGGCCTGGAAACCAGTGGTGCCGAAGGCCTCCAGCAGCGCGCGGTAGTTCACGCCACGGTCGAAGTCGTAGCCCCGGACCTGGGCGCTCTCGGACGGCAGTGCCGAGCTGTGCTTCAACACGGCGGCCAGCGCCGCCGCGGGCGCCTCCCTCTCCAGGGGACCCTCCATGCTCCTGCGGCCGCACTGTCAAATCAGAGCCGCCCCAGGCCAGGCCTCCGGCGGCCTCGAACACCTCTAAGCCCCAGCACGCACAACCTGCGGAGGGCCGGAAGTTGTGCATGTCACATGAACCGCCGACGCCCGGAACCCAGGATGCCGCCTTCTTTGCTTGTGTATTCCGTAGTACGGAAGCCTCAAGGAGCCATTATTTCCTGTTTCTCGTGTTCTCAGTCTCAGATGAATGAGGACCCCGCTGGAGACCCACCGCGTTGCGTGGCGCTTGCGCATTCGTTTCTGTCCTCTCAGAGAGAGAGGATGGCTTCTTAGACGTCGCCCTTGGACAGAATTCGAATCACCGGGAAGTATCAGATAGTTTCTGCCGCTGAGCGTCTCTCGTCAAATGGGATGGTGATCCCTGTTCGTGTCTTGCAAGTCTCCAGAGCCTCCACATGCTGCGTAACCTTCTGGTCTTCCTTCCCCTGGCAGCTGCAGCTGTCACCTCCTCTGGGAAGCCTTCCCTGACCTTTTTCTGGGTAAGAGACCTCCTCTGAGATCCAGGGCTGACATCTATTTCCCTCCAGCAAGACTGAGCTCCTGGAGGGTGGTGTCTGTATCTCATGGGTCCTCCAAACCATGCATAGGGTCTGGTCCAGACCTCTTTAATCACTCTCACTCTGCAGTTTATGGAGTCTACACTATACACTGGGCTTTGTGCTGGGTGCTGCATATTTATCAGTGAACAAAATGCAGACCCTGCCCTTCTGGAGCCCACAGTTTGGGGAGCTAGAAGGGTAACAACAGTGGTAAGTGCTATGTAGAATTAAACGGGCTGATGTGAGAGTCCATGGGGTTGGGGGTGGGTGGAAGAGTTGGTGGTTTTATTTGGAGGGAGAGGTGGTTGGGGAAGGATGCCAAGGAGGTGATATTTCAGCCAAGGTCAGAAGAGGCCCCATATGTGAAGATCTGGGAGGGGGCATTCCCACTGGGAGAGAGAACAGCCAGTGCAAAGGCCCTGAGGTTAAAAAGGAGCCTATTTAATTAGAGGAACAGAACATCCTCCTTGACAGCCCCCACTTGGATCTCAAACTCCTGGCCTCAGTTCCCTCACCACCTAACCCTGATCTTCCTGCAGTCTGCCACATCTCTGCAAACAGCCCTACCTTCCACTCATCTAGTAGGCTGAAAACTGGGGAGTTGAGCCTGATGTTTCCCCTTTTTCACACCCCACATCCATCCCTCCACACGTCTGCCAAATTCTACCTACAAAATAGGTGCTTTTCTTTGTTATTTATTTATTTATTTTTGGCTGCATTGGGTCTTCGTTGCTGCACATAGGCTTTCTCTAGTTGCGGCGAGCGGGGGCTACTCTTGGCTGCAGTGCGTGGGCTTCTCACTGCGGTGGCTTCTCTTGTTGTGGAGCATGGGCTCTAGGCCTGTGGCCTTAAGTAGCTGTGGCTCGCGGGCTCTAGAGCGCAGGCTCGGTAGTTGGGGCGCATGGGCTTAGTCGCTCCGCAGCACATGGATCCAGATCCCTGGACCAGGGATCAAACCTGTGTCCCCTGCATTGGCAGGTGGATTCTTAACCACTGCGCCACCAGGGAAGCCCTATTTTTCTCCAATTTTTAAAATTGTGGTAAAATACACATAAAATTCACCATTGTAACCATTTTTAAGTGCATTGTTCAGAAGCATTAAGTACATTCACATTGTTGTTCAACCGTCACCACCATTCATCTTCAGAACTTACCCATCAAACACTAACTCCCCATTCCCTCTCTCTCCTCAGCCCCCAGCAACCCCCATTCTGCTTTCTGTCGCTATGGATTTGGCTACTCTAGGGACCTCACATAAGTGGAATCATACATTATCTGTCATTTTGTGACTGGCTTATTTCACTTAGCATAATGTCCTCAAGGTACATTCGTGTTGTAGTGTGATTTATTTAACAGATCCCACTGGCTGACTTGAGGAGAACGGGGTCGGGGCTGTGCAGGGCAGGGGAAACCAGGCAACTGCGCTGGTCCAGGCACACTGAGCTGGGGGCACCAGGACCCGGATGCTACCAACAGGGTGGAGAGAAGTGACCAGTTTGACAACTTGGAAGTTGATCTGTGAATAGCACAGGGAACCCTATTCAGTACTCTGTAATGACCTATATGGGAATAGAATCTTAAAAAGAGTGGATATATGTGTATGTATAACTGACTCACTTTGCTGTACAGCAGAAACTAACACAACATTGTAAATCAACTACAGCCGATTAAAAACAATTAATTAAAACAAAAGAAAGTTGATCTGATGGCTCTTGAGGAAGGATCAAATATGGGAATACTGGAAGAAAGGAATGAAGGAGGTAAAGATTTGAGCCAGAGAAGTTGGATGGATGGTGGTGAATTTGGGGGCTGGAGGTTTCGGGGGAAGATGATCCAGAGTCCAGCTTTGGCCAAGTTAGGTGGGGGACAACAGAGAGATGGGTGTGATGGACCGAGGAGGGAGGAGGGTCCTCAGGTGGGTCTGAGGTCAGGGAAGGGGCTGGGATGAGGCAGGGGAAGCCATCAGCATGAGTGAGTGGATTGAGTCATCTGTGGATCCCTGGGCCATGAGTGCAGTTGGAGAGAGGAGAGACGGGGCTGCACCTGAACCAGGTTACACTTTGCACCTCCGCCCATCGGAGTAGGGCCGGAGCCTGGCAAAGAAGGTCTGTAGGGGCCAGTTAGCAGGGCATCAAACAGGTCAGTGAGAGCCCAGGGCCCCTACACTCCCCCAGCCAAGGTGACACATGACACCAGGGCAGCCACTGGGCCTCTTGGAGCAGGGACCCCCCCCCCCTCAGCCTCAGCAGCTACTGCTGCCGCTGGTGACATTACACTCCATGAGTGTCCTGGCTTCAAAGTCTCTGCAGGGGTTGGGGAGGGAGAGGAGGGGGTTGGAGAGGCCAGGGTGGTGGGGGCGGGAGCCAGAGCGGGGCTGCAGGAGGAGGACTGAGCAGCCAGGAGTCAGCCGGAGTCCTCAGCTGAGGTATGTGGCCCTGACAGGGGTTGGGGAGCAGCCAATCCCATCCCTCAGTCCCCAGGGGACACAGGAGGATGTGTGGGAGCTCAGGGTTTGGGGTTCAGCCTGCTGTCTGTGGCTCTGCTCACGACTCCCCCAGATGCCCGGCAAGGTGACCACTGGCAGCGACATGGGGCAGGCCTGCTGGGCCGTAGAGCAGCTGCAGATGGAGGTGGGCATCAACCGTGTAAAGGTGAGGCCAGGGCAAGGCGGGTGCATCTGAGCAAGGGGGCAGGTGGACAGCCCAGCCCAGGTCTGGCTAACCGGGCTGGCCTGCAGGTATCCAAGGCGGCCGCTGACCTGCTGCAGTTCTGCACGGAGCAGGCCGAGAGTGACCCTTTCCTCGTGGGCATCCCAGCTGCCACCAACCCCTTCAAGGAGAAGAAGCCCTGCACCATCCTATGACCCTGTAGCCTGGACCACCCAGAGGGCCTTAATAAACATGAAGTGAATGCTCCTTAGGGCATGGCTTGGCCAGGTTGCGATGGGGGGCGAAGGGGGACTTCGGGCTTGCAGGGACCAGTGTGGTGTGCAACTGGCCCAGCCTCCCTCCCCGCCCACTCCAGGGTCATGGCCACAGGGGCCCACACACACCCTGGACCCTGGACAGAGAAGCACACCCCTCCCTCACCCCTACCTGCTACCCACCCTCCAGCCTATGGGGTAGCATTAGCAGATCCCCTGTCCCACTGCACAAACACACCCGGGATTAGAGTCCCAATCTACATGCCAGCGCGTGCCACACACATACACGCCCACATGGCGCACACACACACACACACAGGTGCCATCGTACAGGTGCCACGTTCTCAAGGGCCTCCCTCTTCCACACAGACATACACAGACAGGAATACTATAACAACACACACAGCCAGACCGGCCTCCCCAGGGACACTCAGACGCACGTGATCCCTGAAATGCACCCCACACACACACACACACACACACACACACACACACAGCAGTGGCTGTCGCTGAGGCTTTCATACACCAACTCACAGACACACACACATCCCTGGCATCCCAGCGCCAAGCAGCCTCGGGCGGATCCCTCAGGTGACACCAAGCTCACAGTCCAGGCCGGAGCACCAGTACATCAGCTTTATTTCTCCTTTGCTCTCCAGGGAGAGCAGGCATCCAAATCATAACAAAAACAAGGGCCCGAGGGTGGGGAGCAGCCCCCTGGGTTGGCCGAAACACAAACCTCACCTCCCCTGGCATGGGGCCCAGCCCAGGGACCCCACCCACCCACCCACCATGGCCAGGACTCCTTGTGCCCTAGTCCTGTGGGGGCGGGGCAAAGGCAGCACCAGCGTGGGGGAAGGTCCCCCCTGAGAACGGAGGCCCCAGCCCAGCCTGCCAGCTGGCAGATCCACATCCACATCTGCCTGCTCAGGCCTGCAGCCTCCAGACCTCCAGCGACAGGCCCCCAGAGGCGGCCACCACCAGGTTGCCCTCAGCGCAGATCTGCCAGGGCGGGGACATGAGGAGTCAGGGGTGCTCTGAGCAGCCAGGCAGGGCGCATGGGACAGGGCCTTACCCCATTCAGCACGTTGTGGTGGCTTCGAGTGCAGATGGTCCTTGGTGGGTCTGTGGGCACGTGCACCTGGTGAGGGGCAATGGGCAAAGGTCACGAGGTGTGCTCCTGGCAAGTGAGGGTGGGTAGAGAGGGGGGACTGTCGCAGGGCCTCACCCGGATGGTCTTGTCGGTGGACGTGGTGTACAAGGCCCCCAGGGAGTGTTTGATCCCTGTGATCTGAGACCTGTGGCCCACATCAAAGGACTGTGGAAGGGAGGGACAGGTGACACTCAGGTGTGGCTCTCCCAAGGCCAGTCCCCCACCGCCACCCAGGGATTAAGAGGTAGGGAGGCAGCCCAGGGCGGATCGTGCGCGGGCAAGAGCCTTGGCAGACCCTGACGAGCTGGAAGCAGCCATCCCGGTTGGCGAAGACATGCAGCAGACCCTGGTTATCGCCGGCCCAGAGCTGAGGCTCCTGGTAGGACATGCAGAGCAGGTAGGAGTCCAGCTGTGGGAGGGACACGGGACGGAGCAGCTCAGGCCAGTCCGGGCCCCGCCGCAGCCCTGGTCCCTCCAGCCCCCTGGGGAGCACCCACCTGCAGCCGCTGTAGGACGCTGTTGGCTCGGCGGTCAAACACCACCAGCGTGTGGTCCTCGCTGCCTGAAATGATGTGCCGGTCGTCCGCCAGCAGCGCCAGCACCGCGCTTGAGTGCAGCCGCCGGCTCTTCAGCAGGGCCGGGCCGACTGCATGGGCGATGGGCCAGGGAGGAGGGGGACATCAGAGCCCCTTGGAGGCCCCCTGGCCCGCCCCAGGACCCTGGGTCTCCATCCTTCCTGGCAAAATACTACTCTGTCTGCTCCCCCAACCCCCATCCCACAGGTAACCCTGTTGGTCCTCTGCCACCCCAGCTGGATCCAGGCCTCACAGGACCACCAGACCACCCCCCAACCCATCTCCATTCCCGCTCCTTCCTCCAGTCCCATCTGCTCTCAGTACGGAATGGACCTCAGCCAAGTCCCAGCATAAAATGCTTCACTCCTCCTGCAGGTCAGCCTGAGACTTGCCCCCACCCCATCCCGGCTCTGGCTCTGCCTGGAAAAGTTACACTGGGCCCTTCAATTAAAATGAGAATGAATAAATAAATAAACAATGGAAAAGGCTTATGGGCTGGGCCAAGTTCATTCTAGGCATTTTAATGTAAACATTTAATCTACCACAGTTCTTATTGTCATCTCCTCCCATTAGCCCTAGGCGGCTGGAGTTATTATTATCTGGATTTGACAAATGGGGAAACTGAGGTTCAAACCTGACTGGGGTCACTCAGCTAGGAGGTGGGGGAGCCAGAATTCTCAAGGACTGTCCTGCCTCCTACGGGACTCAGGCTCAGAGGCCCCTCCTCTGGGAGCCCTCCAGTACTTGACCCCACCCCACGTGGAGGCGGGGCTTCCTCTGCCCCCAATACCCACCCCCACCTGTCACCTTTGTGGCCCCCAGCACAACACAGGCCACTCTGAGTGGTCAGCCTCTCGTTATGTGACTGTCACCCCAGTTAGACTGTGAGGCCCAAGTGTCTCCTTCCCCAGGATGACCCTGGAGACACCAGGCAGCCCTGCTCTCCCACCTAGGCTTCAGGGTCCCCAGCCCACCTCTGGGGTCGTAGACGGTCACCTTCTTGTCATAGGTGCCAGTCACCAGGATATCAGGCCGGTAGGACAGGCACAGCACAGCCGCCTTGGCCCTGGGGACACACAGACCGCAGGGCTGGGGCTGTGGCCAGACAGACCCCTGCCCACCCAGGCCCCCCTGCCCAGGACCCCTCACACTTTATCTCGCCAAACTGCTGCCCATCAGCCGCCATGTCCCAGAGCTTCACGGTGCTGTCCCAGGAACCAGAGCACACTCGGTGGTCCAGCGCCGCCAGTGACCACACCCAGCCCTGTGGGACCAGACCAGTATGATCTTCCCCATTTCACGGAACCCAGTGAGTCAGCACTGAGTAGAGATTAGAGCCTAGGTCTGTGGGTCTGACCTCAGAGCCCAGGACATGCGCACCCCAACCTAATAATATTCCTAAATCAAGTTCTGCAGAGCCTCAGCTGCAGCAGTGGCTTGAGGCCACATGACAGTGTGACTAAGAATGGGGCCTCCATGGGAATTTCCTGGCAGTCCAGTGGTTAGGACTCCGAGCTCTCACTGCCAAAGGCCCAGGTTCTATCCCTGGTCAGGGAACCAAGATCCCACAAGCCACGTGGCACACACAGAAATGGGACCTCCAGGGAGTTCCCTGGTGGCCTAGTGTTTAGGATTCTGGGCTTTCGTTGTTGTGGCCCGGGTTCAATCCCTGGTCAGGGAACTAATATCCCGCAAGCTGCTTGGTATGGGGGAAAAAAAAAAGAATGGGGCCTCTACTCCATGACCTGGGTGAATGAAGTACCATCCCTCAGTTTCTTCATTGGGAAAATGAGCATTAAAAAAAGTCCCTGTGTGGGCTTCCCTGGTGGCGCAGTGGTTGAGAGTCCGCCTGCCGATGCAGGGGACACGGGTTCATGCTCCGGTCCGGGAAGATCCCACATGCTGTGGAGCGGCTAGGCCCCTGAGCCATGGCTGCTGGGCCTGCGCGTCCGGAGCCTGTGCTCCGTGACGGGAGAGGCCGCAGCGGTGAGAGGCCCGCGTACCGCAAAAAAAAAAAAAAAAAAGTCCCTGTGTCAGGAGCTAAAATGCACAGAACGCAGCTAGCTCCCCACTGACTCATTCGTCACCAAACCCTCTGAGGATAGTACTATGATGTGTCCCGTTCCACAGATAATGAAACTGGTGCACAGAGAGGTTGAGTCCCTCACCCAAGGTCACACAGCCAGGAAGTAGCAGAGTGGGGATTTGAACCCAGCAGCCTGGCTCCGAGACCAAGCTCTTGGCCACCAGCCTAGACCACCTCAATGGCTGGTGGACGTGCCCCTCCATGACCACCTCTCATGAGATGACAGTCAGGCTCAGAGCTGTCTGATCCCCAGGGGTGGCCTCATAACTGCCCTACCTGGGGCCACTCAAGGTATACCTGACACCTCCTAAGCACCTACTGTATATGAGCCTGAGCAACGCTCTTAATGCATATTCATTTCATTCGTCCTCATCCTAATTGACCTCTGGACAGAAGCAGAAACTAAGGCCCAGATAAGTCATACATCTCACTTAAAGTCACACTGACAATAGCAGAGCAAGATTTAAATCTGTGAGGTCTGGTGCCAAAACCTGTGCCCTTAGCCACGGTACCCTACCCAGGCCGCACGCCTCCTACCTCTGCTTGGCCTCCTACCCCCTCACCTTGTGAGTGCTGTTCTTCTGGGTGCCCAGGGCCTTGACCAGAACCCGGCTGGGCTCCACCCCCAGCTGTTGCAGGTCCCACAGGTTGACATTGCGATCTCGGGAGCCTGACAGGCAGAGTGTCCCACCCTGGGAGAGGAGTGAGGTGATGTTGTTGGGGTCACCCTGGCCCACCACTGCCTGGCCTTCCACCGACCCCCGTCTCACCTGGAGCAGCAGCACTGAGTCAATGGAAGCAAAGTGCCCATCGGCCAGGCAGAAGTACTCAGTCCTGCGCCCATCCTCTGCCCAGCGCGACAGGTGCTGCTCCAGCTCAATGCAGGCTGCTGGCCAGTCAAAGTCCTCCTCTGTGGGACGCAAAAGCAGGGTCCCCAGTGGGCAGGAACCCTGCCACCACCCACACCAGCTGTCCAAGCTCACTGCGCTGGCTTCCGGGGAGCACAACCTGAACCAGACTTGGAGAGAACCCACCTGGATCCCTTACCCCACCCAAGGAGGCCGAGGCTCTAGCTTTGGGACCACCAGCCCACGCACCTGCCAAGCAGGTCTAGGATTGCTCCTTACCCAGTTTCCAGAAATTGGGTAACTGGAGCCTCAGGATCACCTTCCCGGGCCTCATCCCCCAACCCAAGTTTGGGGGATAGCAGCCTCAGGACGTTAAGGCCCTGCCTCACCCCTGGCTAAGGTCCAACCTCAGCCCTCCCAACCCTCAGGCTGGGCACAAGAGCTAGGACTTCATAACTAACACTTCCTGCCTCGGCCATCTGAACCGGACCCATGGAAGTGTTTCCCAAACCAGCATCCCAAACCTGGGAGCTTTGTCAAGATGCAGAATCCAAGCCCTTGACCCAACCAAACATCTATGTTTTATCAAGCTGTTCAGTAAAGTCCCATCAATTCAAGATCACCAAGCTGCCTTATCCTCTAGGGACCAAAGACCTTGGAGGCCGGAGAAATTACCACCAGCCCCTGCCTAAGATCCCAGGTTAGAACCTGGACTCGAGGGTCTGTGATTGCTAATATCAGGGATCCCAACCTCTAAACCCTAGCTTAATAAGTTCAAGGGTTGCAGGCTCTGGACCTGAGTCCTGCCGCACCCTCACCTAGGCCAAGACTCTAGAGGTAAGGGGATTTGGCATCACCAGTTACTGCCTTAGCACCTAGACCCAGAACCTGGGGATTCTTGGGCTTACTCTGAGCCCCAAGGAGATTCTGACAGCCTAAGACTTCAAGTCCCTGTGTCAACCCCAAGCCTGAGGATCGCTGGATTCCGAGTTCAGGGACCCCAGCTACCCAAGTAGATTTCCACAGCCTCAGGACCCCAAGTATCTGTCTCATAGTCCACCCAGAGGTCAGGGGCTTTGGTACCACCAGTAAGTACCTCAGCCACCGCTGAGCCAGGACAGCCAGGTAGTCTGCTCCAGTGACTGTACTTACAGCACCCTGGACCCTCCCCCCCCCTCAAGCTTGACCTGGGCGGGCCACCCTGGCCCCCGGGCGCGCGCACCTTCCACCACTGGGTAGGGCGCGCGTACGCGGCGCTGCGCGCGTAGCCTCCAGGTGACATGGTCACGCACGAGGTCGCGCAGCGCGTGGCACACGCGCGGCAGGACGTGGAGCACGAGGCGCGCGTCCAGGTAGGCGCATATCTCGAGCAGTAGCTCCGGAGGAAGGCTCAGCAGGCCCGGAACCGCCACCGCCGGGCCCTTGGACGCGGCCCGCGGCTCCAGAGCGCCAAGGGACACAGCGGGCGCAGGCAGCGGAGGGGCGCGCGGGGGCGCCAGCCCGAATTTCGGAGGACTGAGCACGCGGGCCACGTAAGCCTCGGCCTGTGCGTCGGGGTCAGGCTCCGGCTCCGGCTCCGAGTCATCGTCCCAGGCGCAGGGATCATCGCGCGGCCCTGGAGGCAGCTCCATGGCGACCGGGTGGGCGCGGCCGGCCCGGCCCTGTCAGCAGCCGAGCCCGCGTCCTGTCTCCTAGGCAGCGCAAGGGTACTTCCGGCGCTGCCTGATGACGTTAGGGCGCCAACCGGAAGCGAACGGGTCGTGGGGAAACTGCCCGCAGACTGAAAGCCAGCTCACTGGAAGGGTCTCGTTCTTCAGCCGCGTCGGCCCCGAGCTGGAAAATGCAGATTCCTGGTTCCTGCGTTTTTTAAACTAGCATCTCTGATGGTGCTGATGCAGAGGGCCAGCGGACTCTAGTTTGAAAAACACGGCCCTGTCGAAGGCACTTCTCACAGGTGACACTGACCTTACAGATAGAAAACCCCTTTTTCCTGGTTCGCAGTCTGGGCATGCTAGTGACTCGAACTCCTGTTCTTTTCTTCCGGAGCCAGAAACAAGCAGTTACACTGCAGAGACCTCGGTGAAAGTTAACTCTGAGTTACCCAAAATCCTACTGATAGAAACAGCATCTCATTTACCGACAGCCTCTTTTGAGCCAGGCAGTGTTAACACACAAATTCTAAGCAGCACTAGCTGTTCCCTCCCCTTTTTTTCTTTTTTAATTTAATTTTATTTATTTTTGGCTGTGTTGGGTTTTCATTGCTGCGCACAGGCTTTCTCTAGTTGCAGCAAGCGGGGGTTACTCTTCGTAGCAGTGCGCGGGCTTCTCCTTGCAGTGGTTTCTCTTGTTGCAGAGCACAGGCTCTAGGCGCGCGGGTTTTAGTAGTTGCGGCTCACAGGCTCTACAGCCCAGGCCCAGTAGTTGTGGCACAAGGGCTTAGTTGCTCCGCGGCATGTGGGATCTTCCCGGACCAGGGCTCGAATGTGTGTCCCCGTCATTGGCAGGCAGATTCTTATCCACTGCGCCACCAGGGAAGTCCCAGAGTACCCTACTGTCAAGACTGTGACCATTTTCCATAACGTTCTTTCTCCTCTCCCCGCTGTATTTTTCTCTATGGGACATATCGCTGTTTCACTGATTAGCTTTCCTCTCACTAAAATGCACACACTTGTTAAACGAAAGTTGGTTGTGTGTCAGCATTTCAAAAGATTTTCCCAGTTTGATGCAGGTGATGCTTGGGCTGTACTGAGGTTGCAACAAGATTTTATCCTGAGGCCTGTGCGTCCCCAGATGAGCAGTTTCTCATTTGCCTTTAACTGTTGCACATATTTACCTATGTCCCACAGGCTTGGCGCTGAGCTGAGCATTCTACAAAAATGTCTAACCTGCCCAGCAATCCAGAGTTGTGAAGTCAAAGATTATAAGAATGCTGCAAGGTCTTGCTCCTTGCCACTCAGTTTAGTCTTTAGTAGATGGGGATCTTGAATCTGGGCTGTAACACTAATGGGTCCCCTTTAGTGAGCTCAGGCTCTAGTGAGCTGTAATTATGTCCCAAAGACTGCACTGCATGTGTTACGTTACCACATTTAATCTTTAACCTTACTTACTTCCCCACTCCCACAATTATTTCCTGACCTGATTCCTGTGCATCCCTATTTCTAAAACTTCCCAGGCCCCCCTCCACATCTCTTCTCTACTGCCAAAGCCCAGGACACAAGAGGCCAGATGGAGACCAAGGGTTTCACAAGAAACTGATCTTTACTCAACAAAGTTCTACACAAGTGGAATCTCACGCCACCTTGGCGCCAGTCCCCAGCACAGCACGGTAACAAATGGACAGACCCTGGGAGCCCGCAGGAAGAAGAGGATGAGGGGGAAGGAGGGATGTGGGAACGAGAGGGACTGCAGATCGAGGCCAGTCAGGGTCCGCAGCCCTGCGCAGGGGAAAAGGTTGAGAAGCTGAAACTTCGTTGTGCAAAAATCAACAAAAAAATAAATTAAAAAATTAAATAGTTTCCTTAATTAAAAAAAAGAAAAGAAGAAAAAGATAACTAGAACCAGGCTCCCCTTCCCTGAAGGTGGTTGGAGGCCCCCCATCCTGGATGGAGAAGGGGTTACCAATCCCATCAGACAGCCAATCCACACACCCCAAGACCCAGCAGAGGATGCTCCAAAGAACTGGAATTACCAGAAAATTAAATGGTATTTAATTTTTTTTTCTTTTCTTTTTTTTACAAATGGCTTCCAGAGACCTGCTGGAGTTTCACAGCGGGGGAACCAGCTGAGTTTATGGAATGTGCACCAAGTGCCCCTTGGAAGAGAGGTGGGGCCTGACCCTGTCTGATAGGAGACACAGGGCTGTGATGAGGGTGTGATCCAGTGCTCGAGAGGGATGCATGGAGCAGGACCCAGAATGCAGGAATCCAGTCAAACCCCCAAAACCGCAAAAAGAGGCCCCCAGAGAAGTAGAAAGGGAAGAGGAAAACAACATTAAGGGGGCTTCAAGGCTTGGTTTCAGTTTTGAGGCCAACTGGGAAGCAACCACACCTCCTCTCTCTAGGGGAGCCTCTCCCACTGTGCTTGCATCCCCAACCAATCCCAGAAGTTTCCCTAGGATCGCTACCCCAATCTGGTGGGGTCTTGGGGCCTACTGGGAGCTGTGATGATCAGGAAGTCCCAGGGCCAGAGTCGGGTAAGGGAATACAGCACCCTTCCCTTCCTTTGGTTTCCCTCTTGCTGGCAAAGCATAAGCCTTGGTTTTCTATCACCATCAATTAAATGCCTCAGCCTCGGCCCTTGTGTTAAAACCCAGGCCTGGAAGAGGGCTCTCGGAAGCAGAGAAACAGACTGCCTTTGAAACAGACTTGCTTATGGAGAGACACAGGGGTAGATGTCAGCAGCTCTGGCTGCCCCCAACTCTCCTCAGGGGGAAAAAGTTCCAGCCCAGCATCTTCGAAAGTCACTGGAGCACAGGGGAGGGAGAAAAGGGCGACCTCTGGCCAGCCCCGGCCACTTCGGTGGTCCCCACTCTTCTGGCTGGGACGGGACAAGGAGGGAGACACACTGGCTGAGGCTGCCACAGAGCTGGCAAGAAGTGTGCGGAGCAGGTCCAAAGCGTGTGCGTGCTGACTGGGCGGCCCCAAGGTGGCCGTCCTCTTCCCCCCCACCCGCCCCAGGGTCCCAGCGGAGGTCCCCAACCCACCCAGCCCTCCCTAATCACCGCCAATTCCGGCAAAACAGCAGAAGCTTCTTAAACTCTAGATGCAGGTTACACGGAAGGCCTTACGAGTTAACTCAGGGGTTCACTAATTCTACTGTCTCCATGCAGTCGGGGAAATGGTGGGGCGGCTGGCCCAGCCTGGCTGGCTGCAGCGCCCGCACATGCGTGTAGCCACGTGTGTACGTGTGAGTGTACGTGTCTCTACAAGGACCCCCCTCCCCACCTGCTTTTCCCTTGCCTCATCCTAAGCCGGATTTGGTCGGCCGTGTTGATTCTTCCCTCCCACACGTGGCTGGCCCAAGTAGGCTGCCTGAGGTGACCCCAATTAGAGCAAGGGGCCCTTGCTGCCAAGAAGTCCCACCCCCCTCCCATTTATAGGATGAACGTGGAGGCCCCACCCACCTGCCCACCCGCTGACCGGCCTATGGCCGGGTATGGCAGGTAGATGGACGGGGAGGGCGTCTGGATTTGGGTCCCACTCACTCCTCCCTAACCCCCCTCGACCAGGGCACGGCGACTTCTGGACGCAGCGCGCTCCCCAGCAACCCCTCTGACGACGACGCAGACAGAAACCTGTGAGGAGAGGAGAGGGTCAGGGCCTGCGCCCCTTTGGCTCCCACAACAGCGCCAGCCCTCTCTGCACACGGCCTCCTCACCTGGCAGTCGCAGTACTCATCTAGACCCCGTAGAAGGCAGCTAGCCTCTCCTTAAGCAGCGGCGGGAACTGCTCTGAGAACTGCTGCCAGTTTTCTTCCCCAACTTGGTCTTTGAAGCCATGGAGAATCTGCAGCGAGGGAGGGGGTGAGGGGCGCCCCGGAGCGGAGCAAGATGAAGATGAACTCGGTCTCTCCCCACCCTGCCGCCTTCCGAGACTAGATCAGGGCCAAGCGGGAGCCCTACCTTATAAAACATGTCCCGAAGGTCATCCTTCGGGCTCACCCAGGAGGCTACAGCGTCGCAGAAGAAAATAAAGTCCTGAAACGTGACGGATCCCACGTGAGGGGCCGTCCAAGCCCAGCCCCAGCAACTTCCCTCAGAGCCCAGCTGCCCCAACCTGCACAACACCCCCGGGGTTGACGCCTATCATCATGCAGATGCCTCGGAAGGCTGAGTCCTTCTCCTCATTGTCCCTGATGTTCCTGAGGGATGTGCACCTGTGGGGAAGGTAAGCAGTGGGGAATCAGCCAGTGGGCCTGGGGCAGGATTGACATCTGTGGGGGACAGCAGGGAGCGGTGGGCCAGTGGGTGGTGGGGCTGGGATGGGACATGTATCTGTGAGGCGTGGGGGAAGCAGGAGATCAGGGCTCAGTGGGGCTGGGTCGGGCATCCACGGGTGGGCAGGGTAGGGCTGGGTGGGCACAGGCGAGGGACTGGGTCGGGCCTGTCCCACCCTCCCCCCACCGCCCAGCCCACCGTACGGCAGGCCCCACACAGGTGGGCACACACCAAGGCCGGATGAACTGCTGCAGCATGGGTGCCACCTCCTGTGGGCACACGTAGCCCAGGCGGCCGATGGTGATGGCTGGAATGGCAGAGGGACTCGTCAGGCGACCTGCAACCCCGAGCGGCCCCGGTACGTGGCAGGGCCTCTAGCACGAGGCACCAGCCCCGCCCCACGGGCCCCAAGAGAATAGCTCCTGCCAGCTCCCTGGGCCCCCAAGCTTGGCCCGGTCAGGGTCTCCTCCCCACCCCACTTGGGTCTCTCCCAGGTCTCCCCCGAGGCCAACATCTTTCTTAGGCCTCCTCCCATAGCCCCATTCCAGGTCCTTCCAGTCACCCTCCCTGGTTCTTTCCCAAGGCCTCTTGTCAGCTACCCTCCCAGCCAGGATACCCCACCTCCAGGAGGCGGGCAAGGGGGCGGCAAGGGCCCAGGCCTGGGGCCCACCTGTGTTTTCCAGCAACGTCTTGGGTGTGTTGGGCCGGTTAATGATCTCCACCAGGTTGTTGAGGACCATCTGCACATAGGGCTGCATCTCTGCCCCTGGGGGACAGGCCAGTCAGAGCCCCACACAGCCCACGC